ATGATCGAGATGTAACAATAGAAAATAAGTTCTTCCACTAATTTTACAACAAATTATGGAATGTGAACGATAATTTCTCTACGAGTTTAGAGAAAAACAAAAAGTAACCAAATATAAAGAAGAAGAATTATTACTTTTTGTTTTGTTTTTAATATTCTCGTATGGTTGTCCGCGAATGGACTTTGACCGATCGTCAACAAAAGGAGGGAATCCGTGACGCGTTGTAATGACGGCCACACAAACAAACGAAACACTTTATTTTTTATTGTAATTGCTCACTTGCACTATACGTACCAAGATAAATATATTTAGGTGGACTGTATATTTAGGTTCCAGGAGCAATGCTGGGATATCCAATCCGACTCGAAGGACCAAATGTTAAGTCCGCACTATAGGGACTTGGATGGTTGGCAGGTACAGTGCATCAGATTCTCCAATTGAGTCAGTACGCCCCACGCGTACTCGTGAGCAAATATAGAAATAGAAATAAAACACGATATGTTTATGAATAAAAGTTTCGACCAATGCCGATATTTATTTGTGGTAAACGATATTACCTGTAATGTACAACAATATGTACGATGGCTTACAATTTAAGCGCTGGTGATCGATCACAACAATATGTGTGGCCAGTTGAAAGGTTACAACGAGAGTTATCCAAGTAATAATAATAACGCTTGTTGACATATAGATGCCTTAAGGTGGCGCAAACTCTAAAATGTAAACAAAGGCCGTTGAAATCTGTCAGTCTCATACTATTACAAGGATGTAATAAAGAGGAGTGAACAGATTTCAACGGCTATTGCCTTTCAAATCAAAGGCTAACTATTTAACTATTTTAAATAGCAATTCTTGCTCAAACACTTATAAATATATAAAATGAGTTAAAAAGTCGTTAAGTAGACCGGGCCAAATTTTTGGTCCGAAGAGAGAATAATCTTGAGATCTTTATATATGGAACATAGCAGAAATGTAGAGCTATGTCCACTATGTTTTCCAAGGATTTTTACCACAAAGAATATTAAATTTGTTTCGAGTCCTTTATGTAGCTGAGAGATGTCCATGGCTCGCCGACTCTCATGGGATGGGTACCATCCCGAAGATATATATGACACTACTGAGAATGCATCCAAACATATATTCTTAAAAAATCAACGACTTATAGTTATATATAGTAATCTTAAAATATAGTATTCTTAAAAAATCTACGATATTCTTTCAAAGTCCACATTATGTCATTCGAAAAATGTTATTTGTAATTCCACGCCCTATTGTCCCTAAGAAATAATATTAAATCTATGCCCTAAGCCCCTTGAAAAATTGTCTTCAAAATCCACGCTTATTGTTCTGATGGTCCCACGAAAATATTCTTAAAAATATCAAGCTCCGAAGTCCTTTAAAATATTCTCAAAAATTCACGCTTCGTTGCTTTTCTCATTGCCTTGAGTATAGTAAATTTGGTGAAGTGATCCACGACGATAAATATAAAAGCGCTGCCCTTTTTGGAACGAGGGTACTTCCCTAAGAAATGCTTGGTATCATGTGTATGTTACTAGATTTCGTTTCCTTGCATACTTGACATTTTCGTACATATTCCTTAACTTGTATTGTCATCCGAGGCCAATAGAAAAATCGTTTCACACGTTCAAGTGTCTTTACCATTCCACCATTTGCCAATATTATAGAATCATGAACCTTTTTTTATTAATTCCATAGTCATATTTGACGGAATCCATAATTTCCATCGAATTTCTTTCTCTGAATCTATGTAACACTTTTTAAATACATATCCGTTTCGACTTTTAGATCTGGTAATTTTTCTTGGTTTTCCGTGATATTTTTAATAAGATCTTTATACTTGCTACTTTCAAATTCTTCCGTCTCGAAGTCTAGCAGATCATATTTTGTGATGTCATTAATCTCGATGACTGGGGACTGGATAACATGTCGGCAACAACATTTTCGGTTCCTTTTCGGTGTTCGATATTGAAATCAAACGCCTGTAATTGTAATGACCAACGAGCCAATCTCCCAGTTAGATCTTTCAAAGACATTAACCATTTCAGCGAAGCATGGTCGGTGATTACTGTAAATGGCATCATTTCAACGTATGCTGGAAATTTCTTTATAGCCATAACAGCAGCTAGACATTCTTTTTTTGTCACACTATAGTTTCTCTGACACGTATTCAACTTTTGTGCTCTTCCTTATTGTCATTTAGCTGGTATAACACCGCACCAATGCCATACTCGGACACATCACATTGTGTCCTAGAAATCGGCATGTTGATGTACTGGTGCTGATGTCAGTGCCTTTTTCAAATCATCAAATGCTTTGATGGCTAATTCGGCCATTACAAACTTTTTACTTTTCTTTAGTGTGTCCGTTAGGGACGCTGAGATGGTAGCAAAAACTTTAATGAACCGTCTATACCACCCTGCTGTCCCCAAAAAGGTAATAACTTCTCTGGCATTTCGTAGTACTTTAATATTCTTGATTGCCTTCCCCTTATCTGGGTCTGTTTTCAATTGTCCATCGCCAATGATGAAGCCTAGATATCTTAATTCCTTAAAACAGAATTGCGATTTCTTTAGCCCAATTGTTAAATTTGCCTTTTTAAGGCATTCAGCCACTTTATAGAATAGAGTTAGATGCTTATTAAAATCCCTAGATATTACTAGTAGGTCATCTAAGTAAATAAATGCATTTTCTTTAAAATGAGGCGGTATAACATTGTCCATTGGTCGGCACAGACGTTGTGCCGCATTACAAACTCCAAATGGCATAGCCCTAAATTGGTATAAAGTTCGGCCAGAAACTGTAAATGCCGTATATGCTTTGCTTTCGTCGTCCAATTCTATCTGCCAACAGGCATATTTTAAGTCGACGCTGCTAATATAATCAATTTATTTAAATTTCTAGCATCTAAACAAAAACGATTCTTTCCTGGATTACGGACTATGATGGTCCTGTTACTCCAGGGACTTTCATTCTCCTCTATTACATGGCCTGGGGTCTTTATGAATGTCAGTTCTTCTTATAGCTTCGACGATTGATTTAAAGTTTTTTTTTTTCTTTTATTTATGAATTTTTGGCGGACTTTAGGGACTTTCGTATTCTCATTTTTTTTCAAATATTCTATCTCTTACTTTATCATATTTGATTCATAATTGGCAACATTGTTTTTGGATTTATCACAATTAGTTAATATTTTTACTTCTTGGGATTTCAAGTTGGGTTCACCTCTCTTACCACGCCCCTGTTCCCGTTTCCCTGTTGACAAATGCGACATCTTGGAGTAGTCGTTCGAGGGTTGCCACATTTGTAACGAAACAACGACCTTACAGTTGCCTCACAATATCGGAACCCATGACCAGTCTTCCTACAGTTCCAACACGTTAGCTGGGGGTCAGTCTTCCTCACATATTGATTCATAGATATCTCCTCTATCTCCTGATCAACATATTGTGGTCCAGACACTGGGTCAATCTCATCACATATTTCGCTCATTTGTCTCATCGGTCGAGAAGTTACAAAAGCTTGCCTATTCTCACGTCTCAAGAATTTCCTTTCATTACAGCTTCATTACATTCGATCCTACGGTGCTCTACGGATTAACCCTGCATTGAATAGACAATCCTTCCGATAGTTTCTTTTATATTTTTTCCTGATTTTTGTCATATCAAAATATTATATGGGTAGAACCAATTTGGATCTAATTTGACCAATATTTTGATAAAAAGTTATCGACGGATTCGTCTGGCTGTTGTATCTCGAAATTTGACCTTGAGGATTGATACTGACTCAGGAGACTATCAGCCTTATTCTGGATGTCAATTCCACGTGAATTTATTCGCTCTTCCCCTTCGACACATTCTGAACAACATTTTCCTGTGAATTTTTTCGCATTCTCGCTTTCGCCGTATTCTGAATTAAATTCGAAAGCGAAAAAATCCGCTTTGGGGAAAAATTAGGTATTCTGGATTACAGGGAGTAGGAGAATGAAGTTTTGTGCGAATTTTTTCGCTAATAAATTCAAAGGGAGCTGACTACAAAAACATAAGTAATAATAAGTATATGGGTTGAACCAATTTGGATCTAATTTGACCAATATTTTGATAAAAAGTTATCGACGGATTCGTCTGGCTGTTGTATCTCGAAATTTGACCTTGAGGATTGATACTGACTCAGGAGGCTATCAGCCTTATTCTGGATGTCAATTCCACGTGAATTTATTCGCTCTTCAGCTGCGACACATTCTGAACAACATTTTCCCGTGAATTTTTTCGCATTCTCGCTTTCGCCGTATTCTGAATTAAGTTCGAAAGCGAAAAAATCCGCTTTGGGGAAAAATTAGGTATTCTGGATTACAGGGAGTAGGAGAATGAAGTTTTGTGCGAATTTATCCGCTAATAAATTCAAAGGGAGCTGACTACAAAAACATAAGTAATAAATATTGTTATGAAAAATATTTACACAATACTTATTCTATACGATTCAGAATATTATAAATGATAGTAAGCAAATTTTTAACCGGAAAACAACAAATAAAATGCCATTGGAAATCCTATTGATAACGATGCATGCAGAACCAAATATTGCCAAGGAATGTATAAAAGTAATAAGGAATATTTAAGTCGAGTTTGATGCATTTTGGAGGCGAAATACAGACATTTTGGGTGAGGATCTGTCTCTCAAGAAAAAATTATTGAAACCCCAAATTTGCCTTATGAGCCGCTTAACAGTGAAAAACTTAAATAAACTGCATGATTTGAAGGAAGAAATAAAGGAGTAGGAGCAAATCATTACTGACCACTTTAAGAATTTGGGGAGATAAAATATCGAAATTATATAAAAAGGCACACAATTATGTAGTGAAATAATAAACTGTGAATTAATTAATTCAATCGTAGACTTTTTCCCATTATTGTGTGTTGTGTTTTAGCCATCATAAAAAATGTTATTTTATTTGTAATTTATTGTAGTTGTTGCACCAAATTGCATCAAAACAATGAACAGATGTTTCACATGCCATATTTTCAAACTTTAATTTATTTTCTTTTAATTACAAAGCGTTTATACAGCGGATTATTGATATTTCACATTTGTATTGTTATTAAGTTTAAATAACAATAAAAAGTAAACATTTTTAATAAAAATATTAATAAAATATTGAAAAATACAACACGAATCGAAAACTCGAATCAGCATCTCGGATTATTTGCGTCTCCCTATTCATTCAGAATAAGACGAGAATGTAAAAGCGAAAAGTTGGCGATATCTGCCAGCGAATATCCAGAATAAGGCTGTATATTTCAGCTCAAGCCAATCATGGAATCTGTGGGTTTTCTGGAATAGCCAGTACCACGATTATGCTCTACCGGAGACCAAAAGAGGAAAATCTCGAAAACCTTCAGGCCATATTGACTCTGATAATACACTAACCGGCATACAAATTCCTCAAGACCTAAACCATTCGTTGATCCATCAAAAGTTAAACCCAGTTTGTTAATACGGAGTGGATTAGCTTCGTTCCTATAATCTACCGGAGTTAATTTAGTTTGTGGAACATTAATGTCTGTTTGACCTGTTGTGCCATTTGTTTGTGTTGTTGGAACTTGTTCCGCCCCGCCTTGAACTATATTCGTATTTGCTTCTTAGGTTATTAAGTATTGAAGCCACTTCTCCCAATGTTTTGCGAATATCACTCATTTCATTTTGAACTGACTGAACAGAGTATTCCAACACAGTTAATGGATCTTGATTGGGACTACTCCGGTGAGTTTCAGTATTACCTGTAAAAATACAGGTCCTATTGAGTTCGAAACGGGTGGTCTAGCATTTATAGTTTAGGACCGATCCCTAAAGTGAACATCGCCTGATTGATTTTCTTCAGCCATTGCTGGTAGAAAACTTTCTTTCTTCCTCTTTTCTTTTGTCGTATCAATAGTTCGATTCAAGTCAAAAACCGCGGGTCTATCTTTTTCATATTTTTAACTTGTGACCTCGTCTCTACGTTCATTACACCTGTCTACTATAAATTAATTATCTCAGTCTATTACTATTTTAAATTAAATACTAAAATCTTATAAATGTCACTAAATTTCTCAAAAATGTTTCTATTTTAATTTCAGAGGGTTTGTATTGATGAGAAGCGGTGTGTGCGGATTTCTTTTATGGCTAAATTTATGTCCGTGAATTGCTACGATTCATTCATAACAAAAAAAGAATAAATGTTATTCAACAATCTGATTCGTACACTGATATCGTTTCTACAAATGTCATCAGATATCAGTCCATACATCTCAGTATTACAGACTTCTAGAATAATCTAGAGCGGATACCATTATACCTGAACTGAATTTCTTCCTAAGATATTAGCTGCAAATACTCACTCCTAACAGCGTATGTCAACTAGTATCCAGGTTTGTGTACTGTATTACATCTTACCCTCTCTAACATGGAATATCAGAAATCTTTATACATCAACTTCTGGCTCCTGTCCTGAATGGTTACAAAGATTATGGATATGCATGTTTAAGATTCAAAGAACCAATTTTTAATCTATTTCATTTTTTTCTAGTGGGATATGGGTGTGTTGGTGGTATACACTTCCTAAAACATCACACCGCGAGGGTTTCTATCTACTTGGTTTGGGCGCCATTGTTGTTACGAGTCCTTTATGCAGCTGAGAGATGTCCATGGATCACCGACTAACTCCGTCGACTCTCATGGAGCAAGGACCATCCCGACGATATATATGGCACAACAATTGCAAAGAATGAAACAAAGTAGGACTTGGTCATCGGCATGCCTCCGCAATAAATTTAAGCCACTTTTCATGGTGCAATTATAAAAGGTAACAGCAAATCCCAGCTGATTTGATTCCAACGAAATACTAGTGTCAATATTAATTTGACTAATTATGTTTTTAAAAATCACCCAACAGGAAAATTGGGAACGCATACAATTCGAAATTGTTCTTTTTTAAATGTCCTCCTATATTCAATTTACTCAATCTGCCTGCTGGGAACGTTTGAGGAAGCAAATCTTTCTTCATGGAATAACTCGCAATAACTTCATATGTGTTATATATATAAGTGGCAATGGCTCAATTATATGAAAAGATGTGGAAGCGATAGAAATATAAATTTGATAGATGTTCATTCATGTTTTTTTCAATTTTAATTTGAGAATTCGAAAATATTACATTTCCAAAATAAATATAATTCAAAATATACACTAGTATAACTTACAACAACAAATTTCCATGTGATTGTTGTATTATTCGTTGTACAACAACACTTGCTGTTACCTTCTATTATTAGGTGTGTCTGTTTACTTTTCCAGTAACATTTAGTCAGTAAGTTCTAGTTCAGAGAGTAACCCTTTTTACTCTCTTTTGTGATAATACTGAAAAAAGTAAACAGACAACATTTAGATTTAGCAAATAAACAGCTGATTCGAGAAAACATTTGATTTGCGCCAAAATAAACAAAAAACAAAGGACGAACACAATTATTTGTATTGCATTTAATATTAAAAATAAAATGAATAATAAAAGAAAAAAAGTTGGTATGTTCCCCGGGAACATTTAAGCTTCCTGCATCAATACATTGCCCTCTATCTGGAAATTTCTAATTTAATGAAACTTTGCATTACTTACGAATTTTCTTCTATTTTCTGAAATTTTTATACAAATTAATTTCAAATTGAACTTTGCAAAATGTTTTGAATAATTTTTGCGTTTGGTCATAAAACAGCTGATCCAAAAATGGCTGAGTTTGCAAAATCTTACTACATAAAATTCTTTCAGTAAACTCCAGTAAGTTTGTTATTGTTAAACTGTCAAACTTGCTCTCTCACTTGACTCTCTTTCACTGTATTTTTTGGTAAACATACAACATTTAGTAACATTTGGTAACAATTGTTACCAAGTATCGAGTAAGCAGACAGAGCTATTATACAATGGTATACAGCCTTATTCCGGATATTCGCTGGGAGATATCTCTCATGTAAAAAAATTTTTACTTTCACAATCTCGCCTTATTTTGAATGAATAGGGAGACGCAAAAAAATGCGAGATGCGGATTCGAATTTTCGAAAATGGTGGTTGAAAAAAAGATTCGTGTTGCCATATTGTAATTTAAGTTCCAATGTGTGTTGCCCTATTGTAATATAATTGTGTAATATTTTTCAATATTTTATTTATCGATTTTTTTATTAAAAATGTTTACTTTTTATTGTTATTTAAACTTAATAACAATACAAATGTGAAATATCAATAATCCGCTGTATAATTGCTTGGCAATTGAAAGAAAATAAATTAAAGTTTGAAAATGTTGCAACCTACAATGTGGCATGTGAAACAGCTGTTCATTGTTTTGATGCAATTTGGTGCAACAACTACAATAGATTAAAAATAAAAGAACATTTTTTATGATGGCAAAAACACAACGAACAATGTGAAGAAATCTGTGATTGGATTAATTTCTTCACAGTTTATTATTTCTCTACATAATTGTGTGCCTTTTTATTTAATTTCGATATTTTATCACCCCAAATTCTTAAAGTGGCCAGTTATGATTTGCAAACGATAATTTGAAAAAAATTTTAGCTTTATTTTTGTATTTTCATAATTTGTATTTAAGTTTTTTACAAGGCAAATTTGGTCTTTCCTTAATTTTTAAAATTTTTTTCTTGAGAGACAGATTCTCACCCAAAATATCTGTATTTCGCCTCCAATAAATATTCCTTATTAACTTTATTCATTCCGTGGCAATATTTGGTTCAGCATGTATTGTTATCAATAGGATTTCCAATGGCATTTTATTTGTTGTTTCCAGTTAAAAATTTGCATACAATCATTCGGGCATGTGCTGGCATTCACTTCAAGGGCAGAAGTGTATCGAACACACGCCGATGTGTTCTGTAACACACTTTACACCCATTTGAGGTGTATTCTTTACACTTACATTTTCATAGTGAGAGTCGGGTGTATTCATATTTTTCTATATAAAAGAAAATCTTTTTTTAAATAAAAAAACTCATGCTGATAGAATAATATGTTATTATTGCGTATAATTTGTTAAAAATTACAAAATTAAGACAAAACGTCTTTAAAAACAAATTTTAAATAGATACTAAGGTTTGTGTTCGATTTTCTTCAACTGGATTGCTCGCTTGACACAAACAGCTGATTTGAAGTAAGGCAGGGTTACCAAATGATCCTCTTAAATCAATCAACAAATTAATGATATTACAGAGTCTTTCATACATATATTTTATGTTGCGAATAATATTAAAAAATAATAGCAAAATTATCGTTAGAACTAACGCTTGACACAATAAGCTGATTTGAAGTATGGCCGAAGAAGATAGGGTTACCAAATGTCCCCCTTAAATCAATCAACAAATTAATGATATTAAACAGTTTTTCATACATATATTTTATGTTGCGATTAATAAAATATTAAAAAATAATAATAAAATTGTCGTTAGAATTAACGAAATTACTAAAAATTACAGAAACTGTGTTAAAAACGAATACAGTTTATATTGTATGACAACACTATTGCTGCAAAGTACCATGTCGACGTTTATTTTTGTCGCAGTTCAAAATTTCAATTCACGTGAGAAGCAGAACAGGAGGTAGCTTCTGAGGTGAAGTGTATATGTAAAGTGAAAAGAACACACCGTGAGTTCCAGAACATACACGATTTATAATATTCTAAATCGTCATAGAATATGTATTGTGTAAATATTTTTCATAAAAATATTTATTATTTATGTTTTTGTAGTCAGCTCCCTTTGAATTTATTAGCGAAAAAATGCACACAAAATTCTCCTACTCCCTGTAATCCAGAATACCATATTTTTCCCCAAAGCGGATTTTTTCGCTTTCGACCTTCATTCAGAATATGCCGAAAGCGAGAATGCGAAAAAATTCACAGGAAAATGTTGTTCAAAATAAGTCGAAGGGGAAGAACGAGTAAATTCACATGAAAATATTGCAGCAAAAAACGTAACCCTATCTCACAGAACTGTATGTTTATATTGTTGCAACTGAATATTGACAAAACTGTATGTATATATTAGCTCTGTCTGTTAACTCCATATATGGTAACAATTGTTACCAAATGTTACTAAATGTTGTCTGTTTACACAAAAATCCAGAAAAAAAAGAGAGTCAAGTGAGAGAGCAAGTTTGACAGTTGAACAACAACAAAGTTGCTGGAGTTTACTGAAAGAAATTTATTCAGTAAGATTTTGCAACTCAGCCATTTTCTGATCAGCTGTTTTCTGACCAACACAAAAATTATTTAAAACATTTTTTTAATTTGTAAAGTTCAATTTGAAGTTAATTACAGAAAATGGAAGAAAATTCGAAAGTAATACAAATAATTGTGTTCGTCCTTTGTTTGTTGCTTATTTTGGCGCAAATCAAATATTTTCTTGAATCAGCTGTTTAATTGCTAAATCTTGCTAAATGTTTTTTGAAAAGTAACCAGACACACCTATTATTGCAACTGAATATTGAAGTTTGGCGTTGTCTCATTATACCCTTCACCACTATTGAGCGCGTTTTTCAACCGAATTCGCTGAAATTTGGTAAAATGGGTTCTTTTTCGATACGAAATTTCTTCACTAAAAAGTATAAATATAGGTCCACTTTTTCTGGTAGCGCCCATATAACGGTACCTCCCAATTTTCAGTTTTTGGGGGGTTTTGACCCGATTTTTTCACCGAATTGGCTGTAATTTAGTACTTTGAGTTCTTATTGGGTATCAAATCTCTCCACAAAAAATTATAAATATAGGTCCATTTTCGGGTAGCCCTCATTAAGGGAACCCCCCAATTTTCGGTATTTTGGCGTTCTTGAGCCCGATTTTCAACCGAATTCGCTGAAATTTGATACTTTGAGTTCTTATTGTGTAGCAAATCTCTCCACTAAAAATTGTAAATATAGGTCCATTTTTTCGGCAAGCCCCCATATAAGGGTACCCTCCAATTTTCAGTATTTTGGGGTTCTTGAGTACGGTTTTCAACCGAATTCGCTGTAATTTGGTATTTTGTAGTCGTATATGGTAACAAATTTCTCTACCAAAAATTATTAGTATTCACCCCCTGCACGAAATTTGGCGCAGCGTACTGAATTAAGCCTAGAATGATGTGTGCTAAGTTTCGTGAAAATCGGTTCAGATTTATATATAGCTTTCATATATATTTTCGTCCGATTTAAGGTAAATGGTGCACCAAAAATATCTTTCGATTTGCACGAAATTTGGTATAGCGTATTGAACATAGTCTAGATTGATGTGTGTTAAGTTTCCTGAAAATCGGTTTAGATTTAGATATAGCTCCCATATGTATTTTCGTCCGATTTTAGAAAAATGGTGTACCAAAGTACCTATATATCTTTCGATTTCCACGAAATTTGGTACAGCGTACTGAATAAAGTCTACAATGATGTGTGTTAAATTTCGTGAAATTCGGTTAAGATTTAGATATAGCTCCCATATATATTTTCATCCGATTTTAGGTAAATGATGCGCCAGAGTCCCTATATATATTTCGTAATAAACTTAGTATAACCTATAAGTTAGATATAAATGCTGAACCGAATTCCCCAGGTGGGTCCGATTGGCACAAAATTTTGCACAACTTATAGAAATTATTATGAGATAACGTGTAAAGTATGAAATTAGTTCAGATTTAGATATAGTTCCTATATATAGTTTCGTCAGATTTTAAGTAAAATGTGCACCAAAGACCCATTGTTATATAGTTTATATAACTTAGCGTGTGGAAAGTTTTATTGAAATCGGTTCAAATTTGGATAGAGCTACCATACATATTTTCTCCCGGTTTTAAGTAAATAATGCACCAAGAACTCATAATGTGGCCGATATTCTGTGACAAGTTTCGATGAAATCGGCTTAGATTTCGATATAGCTTTTATAAATATTTTCGTCCGATTTGAAGTAAATGGTGCACCAAACTCCTCATGTTTATCAGATATGTATCCAAATAATCAACGGGTATCCGACTGATATATGCTTTAAATTGATTTACATAATTTTGTCCCATTGTAAGAAGCAACTCTATATCTGACCAAATGAAAAATTTTGTACAGGTTGCAGAAAGATATGTTTATGGGTCCAATTTAATTTTACTGATCCTTAAAAATGCGACGTCTGTTAAGATTCATCTGTTGAATATACCCAAAGTGGTGAAGGGTATCATATAGTTTGTGTTTATTGATTTGTGCATTCTCTCTCTCAAGAGTGTATCGTCTGCTCTATAACAGCTCTCGGTTATGTGCTGAGAGAATGCAAGGTAGGTATACAAGGTACCCGCATCGGCGAATTTTTACAACAAACATCGCAAGATTTTTTTACACAAATTCTTGTAGAAAATGTTAATAAAAGTATAGCCAAACAAGGTCTTTGAAATTCGGAGATTTTCATTTATATTTTTTTTTTTAATTTTTTGCTTCAACATTTTTGACATTTATTTGCACCAACAGCTGGGCCGATGCGGCTACCTTATTAAATATACCATGGTATGTCTGCATCATGTTCGCTTAGCGGGATTTTACATTTATCGGGATCGGGATTGGTGTTGAGAGTTTCTCTCTCTCTCTAAGTGGTAAATTGTGTTGGAAAACATTAATTAGGAACGGGGTTTTACACTTGTGGTGATTGGGATTGGTGTTGAGAGTTTTTCTCTCTTCAGAGAGTAATAAGAGTTGTGATATTTTTAATTTTGTAACAAGCGTACTTTTTGTTCACAAAAGGTACGAATTGACAAATGTACCAAAACAAAAAGCAAATTTTTTATTATTCGTGAATACATTTACGCTTAAATTATAACATATATTATTTATGCTAATAAATGGTATCAATATTGGCCAATATTTCTCGATAATTATGATTTATTATCATTTGAAGTGGAATTTTAGGTACCTTTTCGTACTTTTTTGTTCTTACCTGTGGCAATGTTTTCCAACTCTATTCCCAATTTACCATGAGAGAGAGAGAGAGAGAAAAAAACTCTCAACACCAATCCCAATCACCACAGGTGTAAAACCCCGCTAAGTCTGTATATTTCCTGCAAATATTGATGTCAAAGCGAAACATTCTCATCACGAAACAGCATTCTCAATTTGGAATTCCTCGCCCATATTCGCGAAAACGCTGGTAGTTTTAGATCTTACTATTCATTCAGTAGATTAAAATATTTATAATACTTACATGACCTCATAAATCGATGATAAATTATTATTTTTTTGGACATGTAATCGATTATATATATATTTAATATGTAGATATTAATTTCTAATTACTTCGTACGCATTAATGTTTATCCACAATAAAGTAGTATGTATATATTTTTGTAGAATTTTATATCTCATTTTAATAAATCATACCTATTTAAACAATGGTTTTTCGTTTGTAATTACTTTTATTATCTTAGAATAAAACTGTATCTCGCGTAAGAGTACCATTTCTCGAAAGGGTTTTAGCATTTCATATATTGGATAATCTTAAATAGTAAAGTAAAATATTTCAATAAAAATATATATACTAAACATGACAGCTTATAGCCCAGAGTATGAAAATCATAAATAGACAGATATAAACCAACAGAACAAATTGTAAAGACACCTTGTTTTGAAAGAACTAGGAATTTGAAAAATAGTTTATAAATAATAAATAAAAATGTCTAGAATGAAGATTAAAAATGCAACCGAGGAAGGCGTTAAACCATTATTGAATGTAAACGTTTAAAGGACTAAATAATCAAAACTAGAATTATTATTTATTTGTTTATATTTACTTGTAGACTGCAGAAATAATAACAAAAAATGTGATAACAATTTTAAAAGTGGGACTGACTGGACTAAATAAAATAGGATTTGGCGATAAAATTTTAATTCCGGGCGGACAATCACCGTTTTGTTTAATAAATTCGCCTTTATGCATAAAGAGATATACGTTACAATTATATTTGAATAGTTAGATCACCCCCTCACATACGGATGTTGTTGTGTTAAACTCTACATATAAAACGTTCTATTATAATTAAATAATTAATTCCTATCACGTTTTATTTATTTATTTTTGTTTACGCTTGTTCCTTGTTTACTTTTGCTTAAGTAATTTGCACGCAATTTAGGGCAAATTATTTAATGTTAACTACAAGGGAAGTAATACAATACATAAAAATTGCACAATTTTCTGATGGAATGGCGCGTACAATGCAAGCTTGCCATATTGCCATCGATTGGGGATTTCCATCAACATCATTCGTTCATAATTTTAATATATTCAAAAATGAATACCAATTAACAATCAGATAATACCGGGTAGAGATTCCCACCCATGCAATGATTCCTATGACAATCTCAATGCAATTTCTATATATGTTTGAATGTATGTGCTGTATCAATTTGTTATATATCGATGTAATGATAAGAGTACATATATTACCCACTCTTCCACTCGTCTCTTTCACGTAATTCAAGAAGCATGAACGATCATATGATTAAAATTAGAATATTATCCCGACTTTATGTTGAATATTTGATGATGCTTTTTATCATTAATATTTCTTTTATCATTTCAACTTATTAACGATTATTAAATTACTATTTAACCTGAGTCCGTATGTGTTGCAAAAATTCATAGTATGATAAACTAGATTCACTTCTATCGTCAACTAATTTCTCTATTAGTTGTGGTTTGGCTGTACTTGTATCCCTGGAATAGGAAAACCAATTACAAAATTAGAAAATGTTGTTTGATACGACAGATGGATTTTTAAGACTTACCTTATGATCTGTACAATGGGAGGATAGGGTTTTTCATCGTTTAATTTCATTATGAAACGTTTCAGTATATCATTTTCTGTACTATTTACATTTGGCAGACCATAATAATAATCTGGCAATTCAGCTGTTGATTTTATACCTTCAAGAAACAAAACAATAATTAATTGCATTTTGTTATAACAAAATAGTAAGTTATATAATAACTTACCAAAGACAGTTTCCAAGATGTTAACTGGCACATTAAGGCCGACATAGATTATTATCAATGTACCACAGTCCAGTAAAAATATCGAGCGCGAGTCCAAGCTATTTGAAAAATAAACATAACATGTCAATTGTTGGGTAGAATAAATAAAAATGATTTGTAATACTTACTGTTCGGCCGACAACTGCAAACGTTGAACCTCTGGCAAATCTTCATCGTCATCATCTCCGTCACCGGTAGCATTCATGTTTGCATTTTGGTTATGGTAGAACAATATATCGATGTTATAAAATTCAGGATATATGAATTTCATCAATTGATCTAAGGGTAATGTTTTCATGCAATCCATTGCAAATACACGATCATCAAGGCGTGTGCTTGTACCAACACGGAAGGCAGGCTGCAATAGTACCGAATCAATTATATTACCTTCAACAAAACCATTGGCATTTATTGCAATAACTTACATGTTTCAGTAAGGCCGAAATGTACAAAGGCAACAGTGCCAAACTACGTGGAACAATAAGTTGGCCAGACTGTCCAGAGGGCAAATTTTGTGCAATTTTAAATGCGTTCAATATATCAACGGTGGCATTAATGAATGCTTCTCGGGCGTCGGCTATATTAGAAGTGATTGACCGATCAACGGCCATTTTAGATAGCAAGCCTATTATTGCTTCGGTGTCGGCTGCGTGCATTACTTCCGGCAATGAAGCGGTGACAGGCAGACACATCGTATGAACTCGAATGCGACGTTCTCCTTCGCTGTTTGTATAAAGCAAAGCAGCTTGGAAGCATATAGTTTTAACGTCTGTCAAGCTTTCTTCGTACGAAATCTATAAAAGTAATGGTAAAGATTATGTTATTCCGAATAACACATATAGCAATTCTTCGATGCATACCTGCATGCCGTATCCGGCATCTGGATTAACGTTGGGCAACGACAATAAGTCTGTAGAACGTACAAAGAAATTGCCATGGAATGTGTGCACCTGTAGACCCCTAGTACATCGTATACGCATAACAGCTTCGAAGCCGATCTTGCGCACTAAATAACGCTTAAAGCAATGTCTCAACGAATCCACCAAATGTGCCTTAGTCTTTTGATATAATGGGAAATGATGAACACAGCCACCGCTATGTTTACTAATGCCAGCTATCCAAAACAAAACAAACATGATTCATACATAATATGAAAATATTAATCTTTAGATCTTACATATTGTTGCTATATCACTATATTGTTGATTTAGAAGGAAAAGGTCACAAGCAATTTGATAACCGGAGCATTCCAATGCATATCGTTTGTAAAAATCAGTGGCTGGATTTAAATGGGCGACATCTTTTGCCGAGCGGTTGTTTGGATCTTCGCGAGGCTCTAATGCACCAGGCCCTTTATTAGGAAGGCACGTTTGGAAAACGGTAATTCGACCACCTGAAGCTTGCTAAAATACAATTTTCATTATATATATTTTTTTCGAAACACATCTAATAACATACCATTAATTTGAAAGCTACTTGTAAAGCAGCACCCAGTGCTGATCCTGGATCATGTGTGTCTGCAAAACGTGTTGGCAGCTGGCTAAGCAAATCCTTAACAAGTTCTTTGCATTCCTTTAGATTGACCAACAAATTATCTGGTCTTGGCAAAAATGGATCTAGAATAAAGAACATAAAATAAATATTAAAGAAGCACATCGCTTTCTAATTTTATTTAATGTCATATTTGTTTTAACTTAAACTACGAGTACTTACCATCAATATCCAACAATGTCATTTCATGCGGTTGATTATAACCCTCTGCCATGCTATAAAAGTGAACGTTGCTATTATACGCAATAAAACCAACTTGAGTACGAGCATCGCCAGGCATATCATCTAAATGTTTCGATAAAAGAGCACATACGTTCTCCAAATATCCACATTGTTGAGCAATTATGGAAACATCGAAAAGGAATAAATATATTGCAGGTTGTGGGGGTCGCAACTGTAAAAATAATACCAATGATAATTTTATAACATTTTCGTGTGTATCAAATACTAACCATATATTCCGAAGGAGCTATAAATTCTATTGTACTTGAACGAACTTCCGGACGACGAGTAACATCGCCATAGGTTTTTGTAGCAGGGTCAAATTGAAAGTCTTCGGGTACTACAAAGAATCAAAAATAGTAAAACAAACATATTAGGAGATGCATTTTACATTCTTTTCAACTATTGTAAATAAACAAATAAAATAAAATGCGCAATATGACAATCTTTCATTATAACAAGGTAAATTTGTCTCAGATTACTAACAGCTTGTCACCTTGTTATTGTTATACATTTTTCAAATTATTTCTTCTGTAAATTTTTAGTTGACACGCACTAAACACAAACATAGTAGTAGTATGTAAACATTGAAATAAATCGTATATCCTCTATTTCACTAACACGCTCAACCCTAACATGATATGTGTATAAACAAACAATTGAAACTTACACTCATTGACTCTGTAGCACAAATTACATTTCCACATTTTACTGTCCACGAAATAAACAAATGGATTGATATATGTTCGGCATAAACGACAACGTACTATATTCGGACATTGGATTACGGGTAAACTCTGAAAGGAAGAGTGATAAAAGGAAAGTGTAATGTTCGTTGATAACTGAGGAGAATGTATTCATAATACTCACATTTATATCACGGAATGGATGAATTACAATTCCCAGTGGTAGTCGAGATTTCTGCAATAATGAATTACTTTCCGGAATCTTGGCTAAAGTACAACGCATTATACTGGAAAAGACAAATAGAAAAACAAATTCGAGGAAACCGTGAAAAGAAAAATATGCAATATATATTTGTAGGACATACTTTGGATTACAGTTGATAGATTCGTGGAATTGATTATGCAAAACAATTTTAGGGGGTGCTAATGTAGCAGGTGATAATATATGACGATTTTGCATTAAATCAATTGTATCTTGACCCCACAAACGATTGAAGCCTTGATGGACTACACTCCCCGCTGGATAGTGAGGATTTTGCTGTGGCTGCTGTTGTTTTTGTGGATACGCCTGGTTCTGATTTTGGTATTGCAAAGGTCCACTGTTTGGCTGTCCATTGAACATTCCTGTAGGTTGCGAAGGACCCGACATTTGCTGCTGAGGGTAATTGTAAGCGGCAGAATATGCTTGTTGTGGCTGCGGTTGCTGCTGATGAAATTGTTGTGACGGCTGTTGTTGCTGCATCATGGGAGGCAGTTGTTGATTAGGATACATAGGTTTTCGTTGACCCATCGGTTGCTGTGATGTATTTGCTTGCAATTGTGGCGCCTGTTGGTTATTGTTTATTTGATTTTGCAGGGCGTTGCCGCTATTTGTTGGTGGAGGAGGCATTGGTCCGCTGGCAGGAGGACCGCCAACATTGGGATTAGGATAATTAGCATTCTGCGATGAGCTTTGTTGATACGTCATTGGAGTAGACGTATTAGTGTTGTAAGAACTAACTGGTGGTCGTTGACCTAATTGCTGTTGTGGTTGGGGAGGGCGATTATTTAGGGTACCTGTCGAATTTTGAATTGGATTTGGCGAACTTATCGGGACATTCTGTGTATTCAAAGCAGATGTTTTGAAATTTGTCTGCAAGGAAAATTAATCAATAATTGATTTTACCTTTATAAATATCGTTTAAACTTACCGGAAAATTATTCACAGCCGGTTGGATCTGGGAATTTGGTGTTGAAACAGTCGGCATATTTTTTCCAGCCATTTGCATTGATTGAGATGAAGTATTGGGTTGTGGTGGTGCTGTGCCATTAACACGGTTAATATTAAGGTTTTGCATACTGCCACTTAAATGATTCACGGTTGACGATGAGGCTGTGGCGACTGATGGCTGTGCCGACTGTATACTTGCTGAGTTGGTGGATGACGTTGGGGCATACTGATACTGCTGTTGAGTTAATTGGATGGAAGGGGAGGCTGTCCTTGAAGAATTAGCACTAGCTGACATATTTCCAACGCCACCACCATTTGCAACTGCATTTGGTCCAAGCGATGGACCATTCATTGTACCCGGTGGTTTCATATGAGGAGGTAAATTGCTGGCAACAGGCGGTTGACTCGAAGGCATTCTTTGTGGGCCGTTCGTACTTGGTGGCGGAGCAATGTTTCCTCCTGGCGTCCCACTTATTGTCATCGAAGGTGGCATAAATTTACTCAAATTTGCATTTAAAGTTACGGGTGGTACTGGCATACCCGGAAATTGTTGTTGTTTTTGCTGCATCGGTTGTGACATTTGTTGCTGTTGTTGTGGAATTTGATTAGAACCTAATGGCGGCATGCCGTTGACGGCATTATACTGCCCCATATTTGGTGGTGCTCCGTAATTTGAATTGGCATATGACGACATATTCGTTATTATTTAGTAAAACATAGAAATTTTGGAAACACAGGTTGAGATCTAAAAATAAAAAGGTACTAACTGTTATTATTTTCTGAAATTTCTTAGAACATTAGGCCACAAAAATATGACCAATTTATCTTATCATTACAATGTAGAACCGTGACCTTGCAAATTACAATAAAATTTTGGAGATAGTAGTGTTATTTATCAAGAGAATACATGCCAGGTAAAGCACATTGTACTCCGACCAACTCAAATATAAGAATGTGTGTTCTTTCCTTATCAATACGTGAATTCTGAAGACGTACGCTACATACACTCTTGCTAAGTTTATCTATTAAACAAGACAGCGAGTCAATGACTGACATTGGCAGGGAAATCAGCAATGGCTTGGAATGGAACATAAAATCAAAGAAAATAATTAAATGAACAAATTTTATTTGCATTTAATTTTGTTAGAACAATGCTAAAATGGATGTTTAAATAAAAATACAATGCTTATTTCTACATTGAATTTTGAACTGCATTTGAATTTTTCCTTTCGAAAAAAACATGGGCTCGAGAATCTTATCACTTAATAAAGGTTCACATTAGTGACTATTTTCCGAACAAAATTAATATTTCTGCAAATATTTTAATAAAGAAAAAATATTTAAAATGGTGTAATAATTTAATTATGATATAACAAAATCAGCCTTAGTATCAATAAACAATTTCTTTCCCGCAACATGTATAAAAAAACTATTTAGCACAAGTATTACCGATAATTATCTTTATATTTATAAAAGATAATTATCGGTAATATCTTCATATTTTTTTTTTTCATTACTTTTCCCAAAAATATCAATCGAACTTTAAATAAAATCGGAAGTAAAACGCTCTCTTATTCGGCTAAAACGGAAACAAAGAGCATGTTTGATATTGACCTAGATAAAGCATTGAAGACTCACGATAGATAGTAGACAGTGCGAATGTGTTGACCAACGCACACACGATATGATATACAACTGCATTATATACAAAAAAAAACTTAGAAACAAGTTATACGGGTGTAATGAACTATATGCCAACAAAGAATTTTCAAAACGAATTTCAATTTCAACCACGAGAGTCAATTATAACAAACATGAAAGAAATGTGTGCACAACTCATTCACACGTATGTACATTCTTTCATTTTCATTGAGGCCAGGCACAACACCCAATGATCACTTCTCCTCTCATCTTCGAAGATCATACAAATTGGGAATTGTCGACTGCATAATTACAAGGAAAAATGGTCAATGGCACCCATTGGGGAAGGAATAAAGATGACGTCGTCATAATGGGGACATTTAATTGAAATTTGACATTTGTTTTTGGCACAAATATCCGACGTAGTGCCTTGTATTAAAAACGCAAATTCACGGGGTGGTACATATACACACACATATCACATCACCAGACACCAGCAGCAAGCAAAGGCGTACAAATTACGATAATTGGAATGTGTGCATCCAATGAAAATTTCACGAAGCAAATAAAAAAACTAACTTAAACACAGTTAAATAGAATTAATATTTTCATTTTTCCAACTTTCTCTTTGCACTGTTTTACCTCGAAAACTATTTCTTTCAGCGTGTAGTTTTTGTACGGAAATCCTTGTAATTTTACAAATTAGGTTTCAAAGTTCGAGAAAACTTCGGCTGCCTTGGCGTCGTCTCCTCCCTTTTATGACCGAATAATGTTTTATTTTCTTCACTGTTTGCTTTCTTTGCAATCACCACATGCACTTGCTTTTTCACTTATCACCGTCCTTTATGACTTAATTTGTTTAATTAGGCTTATTCCTTTCCTTGAAAATTTCAGTTTTCTTTTAGCAAAAATAGACAACTCAGCCTCATCATGAGAATTGCCAAGACTTTTCTGATTGACAGCTCAGCATGTAAGTGTTGCCAAATTACACTAATTATTATATGGCAGCATTGCCATCATGAATGGGGTGGCATTTCGAGTTACCATTCACCCTGAAAAGCAAATACGGTTCACATGTATTGTAACCGATTGAGACCGTAAAATATATTTTTTTAAATTTCGTCGTTTTAAATAAAGTTTCTTATTATTTCTTACAGTCAAGCTTTTTTATCGCGGGAAACCAATTAGATCAAAACAAAAACAAAAATATCGTTAAAAAATTAATCTAGTATTGTGCACGTATGTTTTGGTTCGAAAAAAAATATTTTTTTATTTATTCTTCAAACAATATATATTAACAACCAATAAAGAACCGACCGTATTAATAAACCTTGCCATGTTTCCCACATAGTAATATTTCCAAGTATGAATAAACTATTCCTGTTTAGTTGTAATCATGGTTGTACTGTGATATTGATGGGTAAATTTAATAATAATTTATTTGAAATTAGAAAATCTGCTTTAGTTAGAAATGTTTGTAGTAATTTCAATATATCCATAGTCAATAATAATATACCGACGCATTATGATCTTTGTCAAGTATATACTTCGCTAATTGATTTTTTGTTGTCTTGTTTAATTCTCCAGTCAAACAAAAAATGTACTATTCGAAGGGGTACGGTTTCACCTTTCGTAAAAGATGAATGGTTTAGTTCTCATGAAATTAATAATTTTATATCTTTACGTGGCCTGGCTTGCCGGTCTTACTAAGAAACACATACTTCATAAAACTGGAAACATGTTTTTAGGTATAGAAAAAAATGCCAAGAGGCTTATTACGATGCTTTGCTTCGAGATAAAACTGGCAAGGTGTTATGGACGGTTTTAAATAAACATGATCTTGGTAAGAGTAAATAATTAGTTAATGCAGATCTTGCACCTTGTTAATACAGTCAAGTACGGTTATAACGTGTAGGCACCAAGGAAATTAGTTCGTTATATCCAAGGTAAGGTAAATTAATTCATTAACAATCAATATTATTTAATAATAGTACTTCATTATATTAGTTATCAGAGATCATTAATGAAAAAAAAAAACAACATAAAAACTGAAATTTTTTGTCAAATAAGTTAATTTGTACGCTAAGACTAGCAACCTTTTTTTGTAAAGGTTGTTAGTCTTAGCGTACAAATTAACTTTTTTGAGGATGGTTATCGTTCAGTATTACGCATGGTATAATTATTACAGCTACCAACTGATTACATTTTTTTTCTAAAGGTGCCTTGTTCCATCAAATCACTAAACTAAATGCGCAATATTTGGTCGAAATCGTAATGATTTACCGGTACAATCAATTGTAATACAAAATTGCATTGTTCCATTGTCTTGTCTTGGGTTTGATATCGATATTGATTTGAGTTTTACTTATCACATTGCACGAAGCAATTATATAGGCTTGATGGTTGGTTACTTTCTACCCATATAAGATCCAAACTTGCCCAATCTTTACTTAAGCCATATCTTCTGTACGGACTTGAAGTGTACACTGGAAATAATTCTTTCAATAATCGCAAGATTCTATCCTGCTTTCACAGCATTTTATGATTTGTATATGGAAATCATGTTCGCTGAAATTATGATTCCTTTTGTTATTTGTTTCTGGAATGTTCATTGATAATTATTTGAATCTAAGATGTATCTATTTTCTATACCGGGAGGTAAAATTGGCGCACCGGTTTATCTGTTCAACAAAATTACATTTTTAAATAATAGTATAGGTATAGGAATACTCAAATACTTATTCAAAGTTTCACGCAAATTTAATTGAAATAAAAATTATGTTTTTGACACGTTTGTTTGGAAGTAATTACTTTGTTATGGATGAAACTAACATTTTATGGTATGTCCCTACTGGATTTTGGGAAGAAATCATAACCTTTCATTAATTTTTCTCGTTTTTAGTTGTGTTGGAAAAATGTCAAACTCAGTCACTTGTTGCTTATATTTATTATATATTTGGCAGAAGCCACCACGTACATAGTTGCTATTATTGATAGTGCTTGAAAATTAACTTTGGTACTTGTTAAATTATAAATGAACTGGCGTGTGCGTTACTTACAAATGGGTTTATATATTGCTCATTTGCTGCAAGACCGGCATAAATCAAAATTCGAAATTTATCAGACTTCATATTGTGTAAAAAATTCAGATGATTATATCATACACACTGTAATTGAGAGGCTGTCGAATTGTCTCTGTCTTTTTGATTTATGCCGGTTTTGCAGCAAATGAGCGATATAATTATATATAGCTCCGATTATGGATTGAGTTTTACTTATCACATTGCACGAGTATGTTCTCAGGTGAATCTAACTCTGAAGCAATTATATAGGCTTGATGGTTGGTTACTTTCTACCCATATAAGATCCAAACTTGCCCAATCTTTACTTAAGCCATATCTTCTGTACGGACTTGAAGTGTACACTGGAAATAATTCTTTCAATAATCGCAAGATTCTATCCTGCTTTCACAGCATTTTATGATTTGTATATGGAAATCATGTTCGCTGAAATTATGATTCCTTTTGTTATTTGTTTCTGGAATGTTCATTGATAATTATTTGAATCTAAGATGTATCTATTTTCTATACCGGGAGGTAAAATTGGCGCACCGGTTTATCTGTTCAACAAAATTACATTTTTAAATAATAGTATAGGTATAGGAATACTCAAATACTTATTCAAAGTTTCACGCAAATTTAATTGAAATAAAAATTATGTTTTTGACACGTTTGTTTGGAAGTAATTACTTTGTTATGGATGAAACTAACATTTTATGGTATGTCCCTACTGGATTTTGGGAAGAAATCATAACCTTTCATTAATTTTTCTCGTTTTTAGTTGTGTTGGAAAAATGTCAAACTCAGTCACTTGTTGCTTATATTTATTATATATTTGGCAGAAGCCACCACGTACATAGTTGCTATTATTGATAGTGCTTGAAAATTAACTTTGGTACTTGTTAAATTATAAATGAACTGGCGTGTGCGTTACTTACAAATGGGTTTATATATTGCTCATTTGCTGCAAGACCGGCATAAATCAAAATTCGAAATTTATCAGACTTCATATTGTGTAAAAAATTCAGATGATTATATCATACACACTGTAATTGAGAGGCTGTCGAATTGTCTCTGTCTTTTTGATTTATGCCGGTTTTGCAGCAAATGAGCGATATAATTATATATAGCTCCGATTATGGTCAGGTTATTTATGGTGGCTAGATAACACACACACGTGTACATCCATACCCAAGAGGTAGCTAACAAATAGCACAAAAGTACAAATTTAATTTGTATAGAAAGTGTTGTACACTTCAAAGCTAATATACTTACTATTCATTTCAACTAAACCCCTCTTGTAAGACACAGTGCAAAGGTACTTGAATTGGTTGCCACATACACATACTACATACTCAAATAGTTCATACCTTAATAATAAAACACGGTTCATAAATATAATAAATAGCATTTTATTTGTGCCTCTTAAATAGAATTCATCTCAGTTTAAAAGAAAAGCGTTTACAATGCCACGATGGGAGTAAAACTTTAAAACGTCTATGGTTTTCATGGGGTCATTAGGTCGATACATAAATCTTGGATGGAAGCGGGGGCTTTGTAAACGTCCTTTAAAAAAATACTGTAGCGTAATTACAGTGTTGTATGTTTCATGAATAAATTTTCAAATTTTATTTGAATCCTTAAAGTAAATTGGTGTATATATTTATTTCCTCTTCTCTATTTTTATTACTAATATATTAATTATACGTTTTGTATAAATGCAATGTTTTTTTCTTTTTTTGGTTATTGATTGTTTTGCATGCATATTTGCTACAACAAATGGAAAAAATTGTGCTGGAAATGGTGCTTATTGTTTTCATATATTGTAAAATATTCTTGTATGGTGGTTAATTAAAAATATTGTATTGAGACTTACATTGAAAATAATCGCGTATTAATAAAATTGTTGTTATTGTTTATTTTTTTTAATATTTAGACAAAAATATTATTCACAATCATCTGAATCTCAGCAATTTGTTCTCTTTATATGATTTTTTTTATTTTTAAAAGGCAATAATTTTTAAACAATTAGGGGCTCTTCTAGTGTTTCGCTTACATCAAGTATGTAATTTAAAAAATATTGTTTTCTTTTCAACATATAAATTTGACGTTTCCTTTCAAAGCATGACGATATATAACACGGAGGATTATTGTTGTTATGCCTATGTAACGTTTAATATCGTTTCAACCAATATTATTGTTTTTATATTTAATTGTTATTATTATATTTACTATTACTATGTTCCATTTGTTACTGTTTTTCTTGTGGAAAGGCTTTCCCTTACTTATGGCGATTGTTACGGTTGTATCAATTGAGATAAGGTGTGTGTATATATATATATATATATATATATTTTTAACCATAATATTTTTGTATAAATCTACATAATTTCAATGCTTTAAAACTACAAGTCTAAATTTGAATCGTTGTCCTATGATTGTAACTACCACTGACTGTGTTTACCTTATTTCTGATAGAGTGTTTGCAAAAAAAAGTGTAAAAGGGGAAGAATAGAAATAAGTCTTAAATATTTTCAACATATACAAACGTATATGTAAATGCAATCATTTATTCGTTTACAGTACTTTAGAGTCATGTATACATAATAGTCATATTTTCCACTTCCTGATAGATTTGTATATATGTATTTATATATCCCCATATACTCCAATCCATGTTACAAGTCCCAATCATTAAAACCAGAATTATGTTTATCGAATAAAGCAATTGGAGAGAAAATTATTTCCTTTTCGAAGGACATTGTATGTGATACACTTATTCAGGTAAATTTAGCTTACCACTGGAGTATAGAAGGATAAGTAGGTGTGCGTTTAAAAGAATAATATTAAAAACAAATCAATATTATTATATTCGGACATCAATATCTCTAAATGACAAAATCACTTCACTTAAAGTTGTATGTATATATAAAATTATAGCATAAAAAATTCGTCGGTGTTATGACATTGTAAAATTACTATAACATTTCCGCACATTTCTTCGCAACCTGGCAATTTATATAAGGTGAATATAATGTATTAAAATTATTACTCTCAATTCTCTGCATCGCAAAAGTAAAAAGTATACAGTTATTCTATAAAATTCGTTCAAATTAATAGTTTTTCCTACGAAGATGTTCGTGGAGAAAATGAGAAGACCGAATCACCCCTTTATGATAATTATACGAAGAATTGACAATAAAGCTTTAAGATGGTATTTTCAATAACATCGAAAACAGTTTAATTTCAATGAACACAAATTTAATAGCATAGAATTAATAAATGCATGAAACAAACATTAAATTACTGCTTTTAAGACTATTGCAAAGGCATGTCATGTTAATAAATCGTGTGCATTTTTAAATCTGACTTTTATTTGTCCATATTTTCCTTGTGCAAATCGTATCATCATCGTTTTCAACATGCTATATTTTCTTAACCAATCAATCAAATTAACCAGAAACATTCCCTAATATTCTTAAACATACATACATGTCATCTGTAGTTTTGAAGATTGGCATGTTAAAAATCTCACTCAAGTATAAACCCGTTTATATTGTGCAATATTCCGTTAAAATCGGTATCGTTTTCAATAGCTCATTTATATTGTGCGCTTCTAAATGACTCACTAACTTTTCGGAGGTACGTAAGAGGTTTATAAAGTTTTGTAAATTTTCCACAATCTCTTTTGTCATTGTATCGGAGGATTTGTTGATCAGCTCTGCTAGTTTTTTACCAACGTCATATTTAATAAAGGCCTCCTGCAGCTGAGTTGCCGATTCTTCCGGCTTAGAGGACGATGAACTCAAATACACAACACAAAGTATACACAAGGCAATCAGGGCTTCATTTTGCATAACCAGATGTTGAGACGTTAGCATGTTTATCATCGCCTCAACGGCTCCCTCGTGACTAATGAATTTGTCTAAGCTGCTGCGATCGTAATCCATGCTGGGTATTTTATCGGCCAATTGCTCGGCTGGTGCATCACCCTTACGTGGCAAAGCATAGGCAATTTTACTAAGATAGGCATGCTTTATGAGCCAGGCCATAAGGCGATATGATTCGCCTGTTACTCCCGCATAGTCTGAGCTCTTACTCCAATGTACCAGTTGATCAATTAGAGTAGAATTTTTTAAAAGTTCCAACGCCAATTTTTCTGAAGCAAGTATAAACACATTTTTTATTTTAAGAACTCACTTCTTATTTAACAAAAAATATTTACCTTGGCCATCGACTGTCATTCGTAGCGTACCGAGCAGCTTAAAAACGACCGGTGGTTGGTGTATTTCCAGCATTGGCAAAATGGTCTCTACAAGTCCAGCTTGTATGACGGCACTTTTATTTGCTTTCGGAATTACCAAGTTTCGCAATGTACTCAGTAAGGCATGCTGGAGTCGTACGTCATCGCGAACGCCATTATTTTTGGCAAGCACTTCCAACAGTTTGTTCATCGTTTTATTCTCTACCATATGAATGCAATGACTGTCGGTTCTGGCAAAGTTTCCTAATGCTAATACGCCCGTGGTTAATAGATCCACATCATCCGAATCCAACCAATCTTCCATATTTTTCAGTAATGACGTTGTATACAAATAATTCATGGATTCGTCTGGAAGACAAGAGTACAATTTTATAAAAAAAATAATAATAACAATTAATATTATGAAATTATGTCTTCAAAACACTAGATGATTAACATCGATCAACAAAAATTGTACTAACATTTAATTTTAACCCTTTCAGTGTTTTATATGATCTTAAATACAAAATTTTAAATTTTTATTCCGACAAAAATTGTTTTTGACATTGAAAGGGTTAAATACATATTTTTCTTATTAAGTACGGAAAGGGATAATAATCCACATGCCAGAAAGGTGGAAAAATGCGACCTCGCCAGTTAAACGTTAATTATACTTTGAATCTTAACTAGATTTTGTACATTACTTACCGCCCGTCAAGACCAGAACTATTAATTCACAAGCAAGCTTCATTAGAGCTCGTGCCTCACTGGTGCGTGCCAGAGTTTTGTATTTCTCTAAAAGCTGATAAATGGTTTCACACAGTCCATCTTTGGCTAGCAACACTTTCACGTCATCATTTTCGGCCTGGTAATGTAAAAGTTCAAGGCACATTTCTGCTAAATCAGGATTTGTTGAGGCAGCCAGTACGCGAGCAAGTTGTAGATTGACATTTGGCTCGAAATTCAAGTCAGCCACATTTTCCGTCAGTATGCTCATCAGCGGTAGGGTATTCAATAGAAGATCTTCATTTTCCTCGACATTTTCTACTCCGATGGCAATTATTTTGGATATTTTTGCCATGATATCTAAATCCATTGCTCGCTTTGCCAATGTCTCACCACCGAGCAAGTAATTGGATAACAGGCCCCCTCTTACTTTTATAAATTGCAGAGCATTCGTTTTATCTTTTAGATGTGTAATGTCCAACAGTTTGATCAATACCATATCGCCTTTAAGATCCAATATAATTTCTCGAGCATCATCGTTCAAATAGCAAATGTTACCTAAGGCTCTGCAGTTCTGTATGGTCAGCTCCATATTGTCAGAATCGTTGTTAATGTTCCGCAGATAGTCAATAAACGCTTTTATCACTTCCGGTTTGGTAAACTTTTTACGTTGTTCCTCGGATTTGGTTAGCTCGGCTATGCATTTGCATGCCTCTTTGCACACAGTGATATTATCACATTGAATTAAGGTTAAAAACTCTTCGGATAGTTCATATTTGTCGAAAAGTTTTGGATCTTTTGTGGCGACAATCTCACTCAAAATCGTTGTGGTGTTGTCTGGAATATTGGTGGGATTCACGGTGGTAGCTCTAAATTTTTCAACAAGATCATCAATTTCACCTGTGGGAGAGAAACAATAGAATACAATTATAAAAATTTTGTATATAAAATTACAAAATTCTTTGAAATGTCCCAACAATGACCAACTACTGAATGATGAAACCCATTTAACCTTATTGTGGATATTCGGCAGTGAGAGATTTCGCTTGTGAAAACATTTTCGCTTTCACATTCTCGCCATATTCTGAATGAATAGGGAGAAGCATTCGATTCGAATTTTCGAAAATGGTGGTTACAAAATATTCATGTTGCCATATTACAATTTAAGTAGTAATGTGTGTTGCCCCAATTGTAATTTAATTTTGTAATATTTTATATGGAATAATTATGGAAGTTAATCCCATGACTTTTTATAGTTATTTAAAAGTTTTGGCAACCCTGTCGTGATTGTTGATAATTTATTGTCGTGCTCCTGTTTTTGATTAAAAATATTTATTTTGTGTTTTTTAACTCGTTTGTGAATCTTAAAAAGTGTTAACAGTGTTTAAAATCTATTTTTGATTTGTCTGTGCTAATTGGTGTAGTGAGTTTTTGTGATAAATAATAAAAATCAATTTGTTTTCTAATTGGTATTCTGTGTTCCATTCCCTGTTTGTTTCCCTTGTTACATTTCTTCATTTGTTTGTTGTAACATTATTCTTCTTTATTTTCTTATTAACTTCTCAAAACAGAGTTGCCAATAAGACTTTTTTTGTAGAATTCAAAGGATTACGAATTCCAGCTACTTTTTTGAATTTTATCGTTTTTTTTTCAAATATTTAAATTAAACATTTTTTACAATGGTCTGTCCGTATGAATTGTGTAACATCTCTAACGAAGATGAATTGTGCGTTACATGTTGGTTTTGTTGAAATCAGTGGCATGTTAAGTGTGCTCGTATCAACACGAAAGTAGTTGATACTATTAGAGACAATGTTGGCGTTCGTTGGTGCTGTGTTCACTGTAGAAAACTTTCTGCCGATTTTTATATATGGGAATACTGCATCACGAACAGCGTCAGATAATATTGATAAAACTGATGCTGTTAATGATCAGACTTATGCCAGTGTCGCGTCTCATGCAACCATGGAAGCTAGCAAGGATGTATTTGAAGTGACAATACCTCATAACGCTATGAGTATTGATAACAGTAGTCTTGAGAAGACCGCCAAATCTACTCATAGTACACAGGTGTTGTCAGTTCCTTCATCTGGTGCGTCTTCCGAGGTTGTAGCTGGCAATTCCCCACTACCTACCCAAAGACCATTATCAATGGCCCCTGTCATGAAAATGGTTTTTGTGTCTAGGTTTGCGCCTGATACCTCGGCTGAGGATATAAATTACTATATCAAATCAAAAATAAATGGTAATTATTTTCTAAGATGCTACAAGCTTCGATCGGCTTACTATGAAAGTAGATCATCATTTAAAATATTAGTTCATAATGACATATTTTCAAGTTTGATATCGAAAGATTTTTGGCCTGCTAGAGCGTTTGTTAAAGAATTTCTAGAAAGATTAGATAATTTATCTCATTTACCTCAGAGATCTGAACCGGTATCAAAAAACTAGATAACCTATTTACCATTTGCTATCAGAATGTAAGGGGGTTAAACACTAAATTAACTCCTTTATTTACTGATAACCAATTAAACTTCCAGGTCCAGATGGTATACCTAGCATAATTCTCAAATATTGTTCTGACACTTTAGCAACGCCTCTTACGTTGCTATTTAATCAGTCCTTAAATTTTGGTTATTTTCCCACTATATGGAAGAAATCTTTTATAGTACCGTTGCACAAGTCTGTTAGTCTATCAAACGTCTCATACTACAGAGGAATTGCAAAATTAAGTGATATCCCAAAATTGTTCGAAAAATTAATTACTGCTGTTATTTCTCACAAAATTAAATCCATTTTAAGTCCATATCAACATGGCTTTCGTAGTGGTCTTTCAACTATAACAAATCTTATAGAGTTTACTTCAATTGTAATAAAGGGATTTGTTCAGCGAAATCAAACTGATACCATTTATACAGATTTTAGTAAAGCTTTTGATAGGGTTAACCATGAACTATTATTATATATCAGATCACAGCTAGTTTTGTTTGAAGAATGTCTCCCAAAATCGATTAACGCACCTTCAGCTTTTCCACAAGGAAGTCACCTCGGGCCGGTTCTTTTTCTATTGTTTATAAATGTTTGCCAACTTCTGTAGTAAAATCTAAATTGTTAATGTATGCAGATGATGTCAAGTTATTCATGACCCATAATTCTGAGAAACAAGCCAATTTACTCCAAAATGATTTAAATAACCTTTTTCAGTGGTGCAGATTAAATTGTATGGATTTAAATTTGAACAAATGTAAACATATGTGTTTTTCTAGAAATTCTTCATTGATGAGGCAATACAATATTAACGGTTCGGTTATATCAACAGTTGAAACGTTCGTGGATCTTGGTATTTTAATGGATCCAAAGTTAAACTTTAACAATCATGTTATTTCAATGGTAAATAAAGCTTATGGTGTATTAAGTTTTATAAAACGGTGGGCCAAAGAATTCTCGGATCCTTATATAACAAAACAACTATACACGTCTCTTGTTAGATCTATATTAGAATATGGTTCTGTTGTATTTTCATCGCACAAATTATTCTATGGGAGATCCACTCAGTAAAATTTGTATTGATTTTAATTCTGTGTACTCTAATGTAGATTTTAGCAAGAATGTTGAGCTTATAAAATCTAATATAATTGTATTTTTAAATGAGTAGTGCAACTTAATAATAAACTGGCTGTTGGAGTAGATTCTGTAGCTGGTTTTCCATTCCCTTCTCACATTCCACCATGATGCGGATTATGGTGTGTACGCGATCCCTAAGAAAGGGGAGGTCGCCCCCTCGATCGGCAGGGGTGGGAAAGTGAGGCGTGGGAACGGTCGAAAAAAATATATATATAACAATAGTTCCGTTCCAGAACCTAAAAGATTCTACTCATTTTACATGTTTTGCAACTTTTTACTCGAAAACCGTTCCTCAACCCACAAAACTGGTAAAACATTGACTCAAATTTAAGAGAGCACAAAACAAAATGGCGTTCTCTTTCTAAACTTTTTACTCGAGAAATTTGGTCGAGTAAAAATGGTAAACAGGAATGCCTACTTCTGATTGGCTGTTGATTTTAAAGTACTGCCATCTAAGTTTGGCAAATTTACTAGATTTGCTTTCCCGAACTTTTAAAATTTTTTTTGTACTCTGAGAGCAATTTTAAAATGTTTCCCTTTTACTAGATTTGCTATTAAAAAAGTACTGGAACAGACCAAATATAAATGTGAAATATCAAGAATCCGATGTAAAACAGCTTTGTAATTAAAAGAAAAAAATTAAGGTTTGAAAATAGGTGTGTCTGGTTATTTTTCCAGTAACATTTATTCAGTAAGTTCTAGTTCAGAGAGTAAACTTTTTTTACTCTCTTTTGCGATAATACTGAGAAAAGTAAACAGACAATATTTAGTAAGATTTAGCAAATAAACATCTGATTCAAGAAAACATTTGATTTCCGCCAAAATAAAAAACAAACAAAGGACGAACACAGTTATTTGCATTGTATTTAATATTAAAAAGAAAATGAGTAATAAAAGAAAAATTGATTTTGTATGTTCCCCAGGAACATTTAAGCTTCCTGCATCAATACACTGCCTCTATCTGGAACTTGCCTAAAAATATATAATGAATTAGTTTCTAATTTAATTTTTATACAACTTAACCTGAAATTGAACTTTGCAAATTAAAAAAATATTTTGAATAATTTTTGTGTTTGGTCATAAAACAGCCACAATATGCAGTTGAATACCACTGAAGAAAAATATTGTAGTCTGTATGGAAAAAAGTCCGTCACTACAAGAAAAATCTGCTCTGAAAAGGAATGTTCTGGTGTGATCCCAAATGTCCGAACCTTGACACGGTTGAATTTAATTCGTAGATGCAATTTCGCAACAATAGTCGACATAAATACAACTTATCATGTAAAGACATTTGTAAGCCACATTGCCCATTATGCCTGATGAGACGCTTAACCAACGTCAAAACGCGTCGCATGGTGGTGGGAATGTTGTATCTCTCTGGCTTTCCTCTTCATTGCATCTCCGATCATGTTGCTCATCTCGAAAGAGAAATTAATAAAAAACAAAAATGGCTGATTTTGCAAAATCTTACTGCATAAAATTTTTTCAGTAAACTCCAGTAAGTTTGTTGTTGTTGAACTGTCAAACTTGTTCTCTCACTTGACTCTCTTTTACTGGATTTTTGGGTAAACAGACAACATTTGGTAACAATTGTTACCAAATTTCGAGTAAACAGAGCTAATAGGGCAACATACAACGGCATGTGAAACAGCTGTTTATTGTTTTGATGCAATTTGGAGCAACAACTACAACAGATTACAAATAAAATATCAGTTTTTAATGACAAAAAACGCATTGAACGATGTCAAAGACAACGAATAATGGGAAGCAATATGCGATTGAATAAAATTAATTCGCAGTTTATAATTTCACTACATAATTTTGTGCCTTTTTATTTAGTTTCGATATTTTATCTCCCCTAATTCTTAATATTTGGAAATACAGAGGTCCATATGTTGGGAAGTATGGACTTCCCCCACGAAAGTCGTATATTTTCTCAGTCAGGGAGACGACATCTACCAGTGGTAAAAAAATCGGAGATGAACCCATAAACTCAATTTAAGCCGAAATATTTATATCTTGCTATGTGAAAAATTTAATATTTACATACGTGTGTGTGAATATGCAATACCATTAAAGGGGACATTAATATTGTGGAGCTAGCGGTAGTAGGTTGTTATTACGTGTATACAAATAACGAACATTCGGCTAAAATAATAGTAATGAAAACCTCATTTCCATCAAATGTTCTAGTTAAGTTTTTTGCATGTAAATGATGTTGCATAGCTTACTCCGAGGATGTAACGAACTGGCACAGAGTGGTATAAGTAATTGTAACTAGTTTACT